TTCCATTTCCTTTCCAGCTCATTAGCTCCTTCCCCAGTCTTCCTACTTTTTTGAGCTCTAACTCCCTTCCTCCCTTCCAGATTCGCCTTGGGCCCCTTGTCCTCACCCTGGTTTGGGTTTCCCCCGTTGCTCCACAAAAGGGGGGGACGGGGGGTTGGGGGGGGGAAAAATAGGGGTTGGGAGGAGGGGGGGTGGATGGTTTGTGGGGGGGGGGGGGAGGAGGTTTTTTGGAGGGGTAGAGTTAGTTGGGGGAAGGGGTTGATGGTTGAGGGAGAGAGGGGATGGAGGGTTTTTGGGGGAGGGGGGGGGGTTATTGGGGGGAGGGAGGTATTTGGGGGGGTTTAAGGGTTTTTGGGGGGGGGTTTTAGGTGGTTTGGGGGGGGTGGGGGTAGGGGGTACGTATTTGGTCAAGTGTTGTGTAAGTGGTGGGGGTGTGTGGGGGTGTGGTTTGTGTGTTACTCCCTAGTTGGGTTGCGGGGGTTCGGTCCGAGCCCTGGCCCCCCGTGTGTTGTGGTTATTGCGTGTGTGTGTGTTTTGGGGTGGTGTGTGTGTGTGGTGGTGTGTGTGTGGTGTGTGTGGTGTGTGTGTGTGTGTGTGGGTTTGTGGGTGTGTGGTGTTGTGTGTGTGGTGGTGTGTGTGTGGTGGGGTGTTGTGTGGGTGTGTGTGGGTGTGTGTGTGTGGTGTGTGTGTGTGTGTGGTTGTGTGTGGTGTGGTGGGGGGGGGTGTAGTGGGGGTGTGTGTGTGTGGTGGTGTTTGGGGTTTTGTGTGTGGTGGTGTGTGTGGGTGGTGTTGTGTGTGGGTGGGGTTTTGGGTGGTGTGTGGGTGTGTTTGGTGGGTGTTGTGTGTGGGGTGTGTGGTATAGGTGTTGTGGTGTGGTGTGTTTGTTGTGTGTGTGTATGTGTTTATGTATGTGTGTGGTGTATGTGTGTTATGTGTGTGTATGTGTGTGTGTGTGTGGTGTGTGTGTGTGTGTGTGTGGTGTGTGTGTGTATGTGTGTTGTGTGTGTGGTGTGTGTGTGTGTGTTGTGAATGTCCCCCCTTGTGTGGTGTGCTTGTGTGTGAGGGAGGGGGGGTGGGGGGGGGTGTGGTGGTGTGGTTGAAAGATCCGTCGTGTGGGCACAAATTTAGTCTCATTTATTTTTTCCCAAATTTGCTACTTCCCCACTTATTCCCCTTTTTCTGGTTTTTCGCTTTAATTTTGCGGGTTTATTATCTTTTTCATTGTTCACATTGAAGAGGACTTCCTGCTTTAAGTATTCTTACTGTAATAAACTCCGGTGAAAACGCTGCCTGTGTGCGTGTGGCAGTGTGTGAGGTGTGGTGTGTGTGGTGTTTTGTGCGGTGAAAGGGACTGGCCAAACTTTTTGTGACCTGACACAACCCTCCTGGGGACTTGACCCCGGGTTTTAAAATGTTGCCTTAAAAAAGCTTGTCCCCCCCTACCTTCTACATCGTCAAACTTATTTTATTTTCTATGCAAATTTTCTATTCAAATTCTGGTAATAGTTTGCGGAGGGACCAGTATAAACAGATGCAAGGCCCCCGGGCCCCTAAACATGCAAACCACAAATAGGGAAAAAACTTGCGCTGAAATGGTGCGGGACGTTGCAGTGCTGGACAAGCGTCGACGTGGCCTTTAATCCCTATTTGGAGACTTCACCCGTGATGTTAAAAACCATATATTCCTAATCCGGTTCCCCGCGTTTTCACTCTTCACTGATGAAGTATACACTTAAAAATTTATACACTTCCTTTAATGTTTAAAAGGCACACAATTGTCGTGACGTCACTTTTCAGGGCCCACCGCTACCAATGTGGCAAAGGCTAAGACCCCAACGGGTTTTCGCTTTGAAAAAATTTGATTTTAGCTTTCCCCTCACTTTCTTTAACTAATAACTTTAATTATCACTCGTGTATTGTTCACGGGGTTTTCCCTACCACTGATTACTGCTAGCTTTATTGCACGCCTTACAACGCTAAGGTTCTCGGAGCCTTTTTCCCCGTCTGCACCCCACGGTGTGTGTGTGTGGTGGTGTGTGTGTGTGTGTGTGTGGTGTGTGTGGTATGTGTGTGTTTTGGTGTGCTGTTTGTGGGGTATTTGTGTTTTTGTGTGGTGGTGTGTGTGTTGTGTGTGGTGTTTGTGTGTGTGTGTGCACTACCCAGTTGAATTGCAGGGGGCGATCCCAAATCCTGTGTTGGTGTGTTTTGTGTCGGGGTTTTGTGTGGTGTGTGTGGTTGTGATGCTTTTTTGTTTGTTGGTGTGTGTGTGTGTGTTTGTGTGTGCTTTTGTGTGTGTGTGTGTGTTTCTCACCATTTGTACTCACCCATTTGTGGGTTTTCAGGGGGCGAGTCCTGCTCCTGGCCCGCCCCCTTTCACCGGGTTTCTCTAGGCCCTCTCTCTCCCCCTCCATGAGCTTTATCAAAAACCTCGTCTTAAAATGTGTATGGTTCCTGCCTCCACTACGTATTTTCTGGCTATTCCATGCCCCCAACTCTAGACTGAAGAAATTTCCTCTATCCTTTTGACTCATTTTTTGGGCTTCAACTTCCAATTGTGGCCTCTTTTTTTCTGTGTCCCTCCCCGGAACATCCTGTCTTTGTCCACTTGTTATTCCACCCAGTTTTTATATGTCGTTATCATGTCCCCCTGACCCTCCCGTCCTCCCGTGTGGGCAGGCCGATTTCCCCTTTCTTTCTTTAGGACATTCCCCCCTTTGCTCTGGAACTAACTTTTCGCAAACCTTTGTACTTTCTCTGTTTCTTGACGTGCTTTTCAAATGCGGGTTCCAAACAGGTGCTGATACTCCAGTATGGGCCCCGACTACACGGTGAAAAAGTGTTTGAGTTCCTTACTAAGGATCGGGTGCTGTTCTCAGGTTTGCCCGGCGTCCTTGCTGAGCATTATCTGATTTATGTGTCTTCCGGGAAACATGCTCGGTGTTATACTCACCCCAAGATCTTTTCCTTGGTGAGGTTTTTTCAGCTTTTGGGACCTAGCTATCTCGTCTGTGGTTTCTGTGCCCTTCCCCTATCTTCTTTAAATTGCATTTGGCGGGTTAAATTCGAGAAGCCCTTTTTCTGGACAGGTGTTTCCCGTCTGTCCGGTCTCTTGAGTCCCGCCCGGGCCTCATCAGATTTTAAATTTCCTCATTAACTTCACACATCTGCAAACGGGGCACTTCTGAGTCTAACCCTTCCGTCATGTCGTTACATATACCAAAAATAGCACGGTCCTAGGACCCCCCCCTGTGGGACCCCGCTCGTCCAGGGGCCCCTGTGATACATATTACGCCCCCCCCCCCCCCCCCCCCCCCCCCCCCCCCCCACCCCCATAATCTTTTGGGCTTGTCAAAAGGTTCTTCGTCCAAGAAAATGCTTCAACCCCCCCCCTTGTCTCCCTTTTGTTTTTTTAAAAACTCAAAGGTTTTGCACAGGAAATTTTCCTCCAACCCCCCTTTGGGTTTACTCTGTTTTTATCTAAATTCCCCCCGAATTTTCCAAATTTTTTTTTCCGTAATCCGGTTATTTATTCCCTTTTTCGTTCCTTTTTTAAAAAAAATCTTTCCTTTTTCCATACCTCAATTTCCAGTTTAGGGGTTTGTGTTTTTTGTTTTTTTTGGGTTTTTGGTTTTTGGTGTTGAGTTTGGATGGGGGTTTTGTTTGTGTGTGTGTGTGTGTTGTGTGTGTTGTGTGTGTGTGTGTGTGTGTGGTTGGTGTGTGTGGTGTTTTGTGTGTGTTTGGGGGTGTGTGTTGGTTTGTGTTTGGTGTGTGTGTGTTTTTTTGTGTGTGTGTGTGTATGAGTTTGTGTATATGTGTGTGTGTGTGTGTGTGTGTGTGTGTGAGTGTGTGTGTGTGTGTGTGTGTGTGTGTGTGTGAGTGTGTGTGTGTGTGACTCAACAATCAATATTTGCACCAATAACTCATTACAGTTGGGGACCGGGTGTGGAAGTGTGAATTGCTCATTACACTATAATTTGTTCATGATTGTAGCCATGTATAAACGTAAGTAACCATTCTTACAGGATTCATTACCTTTGTAACTTGTGAGTTCATTACCTTTGTACCTAGTTCAGCTATCAAAACTTTGGGGGCCCAGTCCCTGGACCCATTACGTACCTCTGTAATCTGTAAATACCTTTGTAACTTGTCATGATTGTGACTAGACCTACCTGGAGTTCATTACCTTTGTAAATTGTGAGTTCATTACTTTTGTAAATTGTGAGTTCATTACCTCTGTAACTTGCTCTGCTATCAAAACTTTGGAGTCCAGTCCTTGGACCAATTATGTACCTCTGTAATCTTTTGACTACCGCCCACAGGATGGGTATGGGGTGATTAATAAACATATTAAACTAAACTAACTGACTTGTTGTGACGTCACTGCTTCAGGAGGCCTACTCTGCCATCTTCCCTTGTTATATGTTTTATTTTTCCTTTCTCCTTTTGCTTATTAACTTTTTCCCTCTCACAGTATGGTGCCCCACATTTCACTTGTTAACCAAACGCTGGTAATTTTTGAACACCCGCTTCCACACTCACTTTGATCTTTGTATATTTGAATGTGTGGCAACAGTGCCTACTAGACCACTAACGGTTTGACACTTTGAAATATTAATGATTTCAGGCTTCCTCTCGACTTTTCTTTAACTAATAACTTAAGTTATAACTCGTAGGATTGTTCACTGATGTTATCACTACCACTGATTACTGCTAGCAGTTACTGCACGCCTTAAAAACACTAAGGTTCTCGGAGCCTTATGCACCTTGTGTGTGTGTGTGTGTGTGTGTGTGTGTGTGTGTGTGTGTGTGTGTGTGTGTGTGTAATTACAGGTAAAGAGCAAAGGGTAACCACCTGGGATGGGGTGAGGAAGGGGGATGGGGTGAAACAGGCAGATAACTGCCTTATGACTTATGATTTGAACATAGTTATGTCATGTCATGTTCCGTTATGTCGTGTCATATCTTAAAACACCAATACTCTGTAAAACCTCCGTCTTACCTTGATACCTAAGTTATTAGGTGTGAAATTATCAGACTTCTCACTGGCAGACGCCATGACCCTCTCCGCAGCACAGACAGTGCAAGACTGATAAACAGTCTGAATACTTCTAGCTAGTCGCAGGTGGCCTTCGATTACTGGGCAGGTGCAATCAGTAAAAAAAAAAAGATATATGAAATTAATAAGGAAGAAATCCTTATGGACATATAACCTAGGAGGGTTACTTAAGTAATGCAAATGAAGATAAATCCAAGTAAAAAGGCTTGTTTTTATTGGGATACTACCGAAGTATGCGAGTAATATCTAGGTATCTCCTCACTGCTAGGGAAACGTGAACAGCAGGTGTAAGGATATTTGCCCATAAGTCTCTACCAGTCCTGGAATTGAACCAGGGTTCAAACCCGAGCCATTCGTGGTTTGTTTGCAAATCTTGTTATTACTATTTCGTGAGTCAGATGTCCTTTCGCGTGCCAGTGGAATTTTCGACCTCTCAATTTAAGTCATCGAAAAACTGGGTGTTAGAGAAACCCTCATCCTGAGGGATGACTTGTGACACAGGACACCCCATCCTGAGGGATGAATTGTGACACAGTACTTCCCATCTTGAGGGATAGATTGTGACACAGGACACCCCATCCTGAAGGATGAATTGTAGTGGCGATGACCTCGCTCTGTGAACGTGTCTAAGGTATTCTCCGTTCTTAGCATCCTGAGATTGTGATGATGGCTTCCCTCGACTACGAGCGTCTATATCTTAGCTTAGGGAGGAGTTGACGGAGCCTGGAAAAGAGATTCAGAGACTGAGGGGTGTGTGTGTACACATCACTCTTCACTGGGTCAACAGCTCTCAAACACCACGCGCATAGTAGAATTGGGAGTGTTTTCCTTGATGCGAGAACATGAAACACATATGCTCTCGACTACGACCACACATGTTCTCGCATCAGGGAAAACACGTCCAGTTCCATCGGGTGCCTGGTGTGTGTGTCGTGCCGAATAGATAAAACTTGCGATTTTGGCTTAAATGTCAACGCTCTTCTTGCCGAATAAAGCAAGCGAAAATTTGTGTATCCATTAAGACCCCAAAAATCATTCTGAACATAACAAAAAAATATATATTTTATTGTGTTTGTTTATTATTAAATTATTGTAAACTTATCTAAAACATATTTAATTGGAATAGGCTAAATTCAATTGCGCATGTTATATTAAGGATAGGTAAGTTTTCTAAAGTGCTTTTGGTACAAAATCATTAATTTCAACATTAACATAAATGAAAAAATATGTCTTTAAATGTAAAAGAGAAAATTATGGAAAGGACTTAATATTAAATAAGTTTTTGCTAATTGACCAATTTTACCTATTCGGCACGACACACACACACACACACACACACACACACACACACACAACCCCCGACTCGACCCCCGCAACCTCAACTAGGTGAGTACACACGAGCTGGATCTACGCCAGGACGTCACATCGACCTGGACAATCTACAGTGCTACAGCTGCACTACAAGTACTGTATCACCTATGAGTGGTTGTTTGGGTGTGGGGTCCAGGTTCCAATTAACCGCCAAGCTGAATGTGAATGGTCTAACTCTCACAGCACGATAAAGAATAGGCACTCAAGTATTCAATAAGGTTTAGCAAATGGTAATCCATTGAACAAGGTGATTAACTCACTATAAGCAGGTCGATATAGGCAACACTGTAAGGGTGGGAGTCAGGTCACAAGAGGTTGTGGACACAAGCGACAACTGTCGCAGACGATGCAACATCCCCCCAATGAAAAGCAGGGGTGTCACTAGCACATTAAGAGACCATACAATAAGTGTCAGGGGCCCGAGACTGTTCAACTGCCTCTCAGCATACATAAGGGGGGATTACCAACAGACCCCTGGCAGTCTTCAAGCTGGCACTGGACAAGCACCTAAAGTCGGTTCCTGACCAGCCGGGCTGTGGCTCGTACGTTGGTTTGCGTGCAGCCAGCAGCAACAGCCTGGTTGATCAGGCTCTGATCCACCAGGAGGCCTGGTCACAGACCGGGCCGCGGGGGCGTTGACCCCCGGAACTCTCTCCAGGAAAACTCCAGGTAAACTATCCTCGGGACAGGAACCACGAGGTAAACATGTGCACACACACTCTGGGAATGGCAGTTCATATCGCTTCAACAATTCCTTAACAGGCCACTCCATTAAGATTTGAGACCGATGAGTGATGATTAAATCACGGGTATTTTTCCCCGGGACACAGTCCATGGCGACGCGCCAGTCACCACCGTTCCTACCATTATTCACTCATTTTACCACTTTATTTACAGCGGTGCCATCAATCACGTTACCTCACTCTTCACCAGGGACAGTCACGACACTTCCTATTATGAAGTGAGCCCTATATTAATCCTTAGGCCACCGTGAATGCCAATTTCCCGGTCCCATGTTTTCACAGCCTCTTAAACCCATTCAAAACACTGCCGCCTCTCTCATGCCACGAGTTGACCTCTACCCCCGCACATCCACGCTTGCGCAAAGGGAACTCTTGGTTCTATCCTATTTTCAAATACATTTTTGACCCATATCGACACATTAAACACCTATTAGGCACTATAGCTTCAGAAAATTTAAATATTTTCCACAACATATAACAGAAGGAGAATATATCTTAATCATAACACTCACCAATTTGACTGGAGATTAAGTTGTATCATACTCAGAAAACCTCTGTCTATACATGAAAATAATAACTGGCCAGAGATATAACATAACAGACTTATCTGAGGTTCCTGGAGTTGTCCTGTCCTGTCGCCTGATATCTCAAGTTATGCAGGAATGCACATCCAACAATTTCGCCTCCTATTTGAGAGGTGTCGGCCCAATTTTAACCTCTAGAGCACGAAAATTCCTTCCCATTACACTAACGTTGTATCCAGTTCAAATTAACAATGGCAACTAACCTCCCCAGCCGCAGGTTTCCCATTTTCGATAACATACTTCTTTTAAAAATACAATATAGGGCATCTATTTACCTATAAATTACCGTATTTCCGGAAAATATATACAGTATTTTCCCAAGGCTATGTAATCATTCTCACGTTTTCCCCAAATTGAAACCATATTTGGGGGTTTGTACCCCGCAACAGTTTGAGAACATTTAGCCTATTTTTGCATTTCTTGTTTAGTTGTGGTAAAAGGGGATTTTTTAAAAGGGTCTTTTTTCTACCCCCAAAGTAAAGTAAGGGGTTTTTTTTTCAGGTATCCCTGGAGTTTCCCTGGAGGAGTTCCGGGGGTCAAGGGCCCCGCGGCCCGGCTGTGACCGGGCCTCCTGGGGGTTCAGGGGCCTAAACCAACCAGGTTGGTTGCTGGGGTTTGCCCCGCAAAAAAAACGTACGAGCCACAGCCCGGGGCGGACGGAAAATGATTTTGGGGGGTGCTTGTCCAGTGCCAGTTTGAAGTTGCCAGGGGTCTGTTGGAAATCCCCCTTATGTGTGTGGGAGGCGTTGAACAGTCTCGGGCCTGACACTTATTTTATGGTCTCTTTAAGTGCTTGTGACACCCCTGCTTTTCATTGGGGGGGTGGTGCATCGTTTTTTTTCCCAAATCTTTTGCTTTCGTAGTGAGTGATTTTTTTGTGCAAGTTCGGTACTAGTCCCTCTAGGATTTTCAGGTGTATATAATCATGTATCTCTCCTCCTGCGTTCCAGGGAATACAGGTTTAGGAACCTCAAGCGCTCCCAGTAATTGAGGTGTTTTATCTCCGTTATGAGCGCCGTGAAAGTTCTCTGTACATTTTCTAGGTCGGCAATTTCACCTGCCTTGAAAGGTGCTGTTAGTGTGCAGCAATATTCCAGCCTAGATAGAACAAGTGACCTGAAGAGTGTCATCATGGGCTTGGCCTCCCTAGTTTTGAAGGTTCTCATTATCTATCCTGTCATTTTTCTAGCAGATGCGATTGATACTACAATGTTATGGTCCTTGAAGGTGAGATCCTCCGACATGATCACTCCCAGGTCTTTGACGTTGGTGTTTCGCTCTATTTTGTGGCCAGAATTTGTTTTGTACTCTGATGAAGATTTAATTTCCTCATGTTTACCATATCTGAGTAATTGAAATTTCTCATCGTTGAACTTCATATTGTTTTCTGCAGCCCACTGAAAGATTTGGTTGATGTCCGCCTGGAGCCTTGCAGTGTCTGCAATGGAAGACACTGTCATGCAGATTCGGGTGTCATCTGCAAAGGAAGACACGGGTGCTGTGGCTGACATCCTTGTCTATGTCGGATATTAGGATGAGGAACAAGATGGGAGCGAGTACTGTGCCTTGTGGAACGAGCTTTTCACCGTTGCTGCCTCGGACTTTTACTCTGTTGACGACTACTCTCTGTGTTCTGTTAGTGAGGAAATTATAGATCCATCGACCGACTTTTCCTGTTATTCCTTTAGCACGCATTTTGTGCGCTATTACGCCATGGTCACACTTGTCGAAGGCTTTTGCAAAGTCTGTATATATTACATCTGCATTCTTTTTGTCTTCTAGTGCATTTAGGACCTTGTCGAAGTGATCCAATAGTTGAGACAGACAGGGCGACCTGTTTTAAACCCATGTTCCCCTGGGTTGTGTAATGATGGGTTTTAGATGGGTGGTGATCTTGCTTCTTAGGCCCCTTTCAAAGATTTTTATGATATGGGATGTTAGTGCTATTGGTCTGTAGTTCTTTGCTGTTGCTTTACTGCCCCTTTGTGGAGTGGGGCTATGTCTGTTGTTTTTAGTAACTGTGGGACGACCCCCGTGTCCTTTGCTCCCTCTCCATAGGATTGGAAAGGCTCGTGATAGGGGCTTCTTGCAGTTCTTGATGAACACAGAGTTCCATGATTTCTGGCCTGGGGCAGAGTGCATGGGCAAGTCATTTATCGCCTGTTCGAAGTCATTTGGCGTCAGGATAACATCGGATAGGCTTGTGTTAATCAAATTTTGTGGCTCTCTCATAAAAAATTAATTTTGATCTTCGACTCTCAGTTGATTAGCGGCTTGCTAAAAAACTGAGTCATATTGGGACTTGAGTAGCTCACTCATTCCT